TATATATATATATATATATATATATATATATATATATATATATATGTACATGTGATCTTTTTATGTCTGTACAGTTATTCTTTTAAGAGCAGTGAAATACTTTTTTATTGTTGTTTCGTTTTACCATTTTTTTTTTTTTTTGGCGTTTGTTCTTATTGTTATTGTTATTGTTTTTTTTTTTCCTTTTCTTTTGTGCTCATCGCCGAACATATTTTCAACAGATCTTCCTTTTCCTTTGACCATTCTCCTTATGTTCCCTGATTACTGTCAAACATATTCTTTTCGTTTCTTGAGTGTTTCCCTTCGCAGCACTACAATATTTTATTCCACGGGCTATTATTCGAGTGCGAAGAAATGAGGGTTTTTTCATTTGATTTTCATACTTCTTTTTATTTCTTCCCCCTTTTTTTTTTCAATGTTCTTTTCCCGTTTCTCCTTTCTCTGCACGGTTTCGTTTCCACCTTAACTGTTTCCCCTTATCATTTGTACCCCTTCTATTTCAGTTAACAATGAAGAGTAAAAATCCTCACATCTATTTTTATCTGTTGATGGAAAAGGGGGTTCATTTTGCCTTTTGTTGTTTCCTGTAAACATTACGCTCACCACGTTAGAGAGGTCATTTTTTTTTCTCTTTCTCTCTCTCTCTCTCTGTGGGTGTAGATGCATAATTCTTCATGTACAGTGAAAGATAGAGCAATGAAAGTCGTTTTGGGTATGTGGATTGTCAAAAGAGAAGAGAAGAGAAGGGTGGTACTTGGGATGAGACTAAGGAGAGAGCGTGATAGATAGATAGATAACGGTAAATATTACAAAACAAGAAGAATGAAGGGTTTTAAGAGAAGCACAAGAAAACAAAAGAAAACAAAAAAGGAAAACTCTCTTGTGGAACGGGATATTGGCTCCGATGGTTTATGTCATTGTCTTTGATCGTTTTTTTTTTCTTTTGATTTTATGATTTTAATTTTTTTCTTTCTTTCTTCTGGAAGAATTCGAGTTGTACGGTGGTCAATTGTTTTTTTTTTTTTAATGGTTGAGCGTACGAACTATTCCTGGGAACCTGAACCGGTGGTGGGAAGTAGGGAAAGAGGAGGAATAGTGACAAGGGAGGGAATATATATATATATATATATATATATATATATATATAAACCTTTACAATGGCGTATATTTCAAATACACATGCTTCTACGGACTCTTCTCTCCCATGGAGTGAGTGAGTGTGTGTGTGTGTGTATGGTAATAATGTTCGGGGAACAAAGTGAGAAGCCCAGAGGTGATGAAGTAAATCAATCTGTGTCTATAAAGGTACGAATGAATTACTTCAGTCAATAAATAAAGTGCTTCATAAAGAAAGAAAGAACGAAAAGAAAAGGGGTTGTAATTAAAGCAAAAGGTATAATTACGATAGGTTGGGGATATGCTTTTAATAAGCATGAAAAAGGAAAGCAAAAAAAACCTAATAATCAAGTAAATTCTCTTATTTAACTCTACTCCCCCAATGTCTCTTCCTTCCAAAAAGCAAAAAAAAAAAGGTGTTTATTTTATGGTAAAACATAAAGTTTACTTCATGTCTTTCTCTTTATCTTCCTTTTTCTTTTCTTTATGTCTTCTGTTTTGAGAGTCAAATTCTCTGACCTACAGAATTGACAAGATATATTCATATAAATAATGTGTGTGAATTCAACAGACAGCCAAGGGGGTGTTCACTCTAGTGTGATACCCCCAGTAAAGTCTAACAGTGCAAAATCTTATGTTGGACCTGATCTTCTTGCCCGTCAGGCCATGTACGAAGAATCTATAAAAGATCCTTCTGCATTTTGGAGCAAAATAGCAGCAGAGAATTTTTACTGGAAGGAGTTATGGCCTTCAGATAAGGATATATTGGAGTACAACTTTGAAAGGAATAAGGGAGAAATATTTGTCAAGTGGTTTGATGGTGCGGTTACAAATGTGTGCTATAACGCACTTGATCGACACTTACCCCACCACAGAGATCGTGTCTGTTACTACTGGGAAGGGAACACAGAAGAGGAAAGTAGGAAAGTAACGTATGGGGAGATGTACAGAGAGGTGGTGCGGATAGCATCTGTATTAAAGCATCATTATGGCGTCCGTAAAGGTGACAACATTACTCTGTACCTACCAATGATCCCCTTCGCCGCGCAGGTAATGTTGGCAGCAGCACGTATTGGCGCCGTCGTCTCCGTTTTGTTTGCGGGGTTCTCTGCACAGGCACTTGCCTCCCGCATCTTGAACTGTAAAAGCAAACTCCTTGTCACTGCCGATGGCTTCTTCCGTGGGGAGAAGCCAATCCCTCTAAAGAAGATTGTGGATGAGGCCCTTGCTGAGTGTGAGAAAAATGGACACAATGTCCAATCTCTTGTTTGGGAACGATACAACCGTGGGAATGTGTCAATGAAGGAGGGTCGTGATGCGTGGTACGCTGATGTGGCTGCGACACTGACGGACGAGCAGTTGTCGAACTGCCCGGTGGAGTGGGTTGGTGCGGAGGACCCGCTCTTCATGCTGTACACCTCCGGCAGCACCGGCAAACCCAAGGCGGTCGTGCACACCACTGCCGGCTACATGGTGTTTGCTGCCACCACCTTCAAGTATTCCTTTGACTACCACGAGGATGATGTGTACTTCTGCACGGCGGACATTGGCTGGATCACCGGCCACTCCTACCTGGTGTACGGCCCCATGTTGAATGCCGCCACCTCCATACTGTATGAGGGGATCCCGACCTACCCCACGCCCTCCCGCTGGTGGGAGCTGGTGGACAAGTACGGCGTGACGATCTTCTACACCGCCCCCACGGCGATCCGCTCGCTGATGAAGTACGGCGATGGGCCTGTGCTGCGCACCTCCCGCCGTACACTGCGCGTGCTTGGCTCCGTTGGCGAGCCGATCAACGTGGAGGCGTGGCACTGGTACCACGGCGTGGTGGGCGGCGGCCACGCGGACGTGGTGGACACGTGGTGGCAGACGGAGACGGGCGGGCATCTCATCACGCCGCTGCCGGGCTGCACGCCGCTCAAGCCGGGGAGCGCGTCGCTGCCGTTCTTCGGCGTGGCGCCGCTGCTGCTGGACGCGGAGTCCCACGCGGTGCTGTCGGGCGCGGCCGAAGGGCTCCTCGCCGTGGGCCGCCCGTGGCCGGGGCAGGCCCGCACCATCTTTGGCGACCACGGCCGCTACGAGCAGGTCTACTTCCCCTTCAGCGGCTGCTATCTCACGGGCGACGCCGCCCGCCGGGACGCGGACGGCTACTACTGGATCACAGGACGCGTGGACGACGTCCTCAACGTCAGCGGGCACCGCATCGGCACAAGTGAAGTGGAGGATGCCGTCAACACACATCCCGACGTTGTAGAGAGCGCCGTCGTTGGTGTCCCACACGATGTGAAGGGAGAAGGTATTTACGTCTTTGTCACATTCCACGAGCACGTCAAAGTAGATAAGGCGTTGCTGGAAGCCGTACGGGTCACGGTCCGCACTGTTATTGGACCATTCGCCACACCGGATCACATCCACCCCGCTCAGGGAGGACTGCCAAAGACGCGATCGGGAAAAATTGTTCGCCGTATTCTACGCAAAATTGCTGCAGGCATCTTCGACGAACTTGGTGATGTTACGACACTCGCCGATCAAGCAGTCGTAAGCAAACTCATTGAAACGAGGAAGTCTGATATCCTGTAATGGGTGGAGAGAGGACTATGGTGTGGGGTGAGGAGTCCATAAAGTAGAGAGAAAGGGTAAATAGATGGAGAAAAATAAAGGGGGGAAACTATACTCTTCTCACTTGATTTTTTTTGGCATTTTTTTGGCATCTGTTTACTCTCGGGTTCAAGAGATATTAAAGTATATATATATATATATATATATATATATATATATATATGAAGGAGATACTTGGGGAAACCAATAAAGGAAAACAAAAGAAAACATTTTGCTGAGTGTTGTTGTGATGATGATGATGATAGGTGGAGGATGGTTATTTATCTCATTTTCTGTTCTTTGTTTTTTCGTTTATATTACAATGGTTTTACCGTTGCAGAAAACATGGGAAAAATGTCTAATTGGAACCAAGAAAAGCTGTTGGTCTCTTTTGTTTTCCGTTTTTTTCCCTGTTTTGCACCTAGGTGGTATGAGGAGCTTTTTCTGTGATGCCTTGCGCGTGTTTCTACATGTTTTTTTTTTTTTTCTATTCTAAATGGGCCTTAGTTTCCCCCTGCAATTTTTTTTTTTGTTGTTGTTCGTTTTTTTTTTTTGTGTTTACCTACTGTTTTCTTTTTTTGCTTATTGCTATCTGTTGCAGAGTGGAGGAAATTGTAAATTAGGGGAATGTGAAAGAAGGAAAAAAAAATGAAGAGGTGGTATATGTAAGTCTATAGAAATCTGGAGTTGGCGTATGGGGGTCGTTATTTCTGCTTTCATGGTGGAGGTTATTTACTCTGGTCATAGGGATTTCCGTAGGAAAATTCATAGTGCCCAACAGATATTCTCCCTGTCCCCGTCGTCTGTGTGTGTGTATGTGAGAGTTTTTTTTTTTTTTGGAATGTGTGTGTATGTGTGAGAGTTTTTCTCTTGGCTGACACTATTTTCAGAGTGTTTTGCCAATGGACAACAAGTTAGATTTTTTTTTTTTTTTTTTTGGAATGTGTGTGTGTGTGTGTGTCTTTTTCTCTTGGCTGACACTATTTTCAGAGTGTTTTGCCAATGGACAACAAGTTAGATGTTGTTGTTGTTGTTAAGGATGTTAAATGGGGATATCATCTTCTTGGTTTTGGGACCCACACTGGCATTATGTATACTCTTTCCCTATTCGTTACTATCTTCCTTTGTTTTTCATTTTTTTTTCCATTTTTTTTTTTTTTCTCTTTCATTTCCTGTGAAAAGACAACAAATAGTCAAACTCCAACACTCAAAACAACAACAATAACATCAACAATCAAACATCACCCAGAACAGAAAAAAAAGAAAAAAAAGAAAGAAAGAAAGAAAAGAAGAGAATAAGACCAATTTACACAGTAAACAATGAGTCATCTGCCCCAAAATAACCCGGATGAGTATGATGAGAAGGCTGAAGCCACACTAAATGCCGTTATTGCCGATGAGGGAACTGGGTGGTCACGCCTCCACCATCGTGAGATGGATACAAGCCAAACGGGGTCAAGAGAAAGACAACATCGTGTGAAAGAGGGGAAAGCAGCGAAAATCGTTCTTGAAAACCTTGAGGAAGAAGGGGATGAAGAAGAGGAAATTGTACAACAGGAATGTCGACAGAAAAAGAAGAATCTGGCACAACGTTTCTTGGAGTTTTTATTTCCTCCTGGTAGCATGTTAGCAAGCGCTTTTACTCTTGGAAGCTCTACATTGGGTGCTGGTATTCTCGGTTTACCATCTGCTTTTAATATGACTGGTTATATACTTTCCATTATGTTACTTGTTATAGTCACAATACTGACAATTTTCTCACTTTGGTTGCTCGCACGTGCTGCTGAAGTTTCAGGAAAAAGAACATACGAAGATGTCATTCGCACACTTATGGGTCGTGGACCGGATTGGTTGTTGGCATTCTTTATGTGTGGATTTTGTGTTGGTGGTGGTGTTGGTTACATCATCTCTATTGGAAACTTGCTAACACCTGTTTTTGATGACCCAAGTGTACCAGAGTTTTTGCGTACGAAAACAGGAAATCGACTCATCACAAGCATGATTTGGTTAGTATTTATATTACCATTATGTCTGCCAAAACAAATAGATTCTTTGAGACATACTTCTATGCTTGGTGTCACCTTTATCTTTTTCTTCGTTATATGTATTGTGATTGATTCATGCAGGTATATGAACAAAAACGGTTTTCGCAGTGATCTTGAGATGTTCGGAGTGGGAAATGGTGCCATTGAGGGTTTGAGTATTATCATGTTTGCTTGTCTTGTGCAAATTAATGCTTTTGAGGTTTATTTTGAAATGTCTCACCCTTCACCACGCCGTATGGTGAGAGACAGTGCTATTGCCATGAGTGGTTGTGGAATGCTTTACATTCTTGCTGGATTCTTTGGTTATATGCGTTTTGGTAAAACTGTCACGGACTCCATTCTACTTATGTATCAACCACGTGAAAGTATTCTCTTCGCTATTGCATATGTTGGCATTGTCTTTAAAATCTGTGTGGCCTTTGCTCTTCACCAATTGCCAATGCGGGATGGTATTTATCACGTTATTGGTTGGGATGTATATTCTATGCCATGGTGGAAAAATGCCCTTTTCTGTACCTTTCTCTCCTTTGTATTACTTGTGATTGGTCTCTTTGTACCCAACATTAATGTTGTGTTTGGTCTGGTGGGAGCCTTGTGTGGGGGATTCATTGGATTTATATTCCCCGCACTTCTGGTGATGTACTGTGGACGTTGGACCTTTTCGCGAGTGGGATGGCTGGAGTACTTCGCCACGTACTTTTTACTCATCAGCGGATGTGTGGCTGTTGTGTTTGGCACAGGCGCCTCCATCTATGGTGTTATTGTCTAAAGTGTAATGGAAAGAGAAAAGGGAGGGGTGGGGGTGGGGGGG